AATCGCGGTATTATTAATATTGTTGTTTTACGCGCTCAAAGAAATGTTCGTCGATTGACTGATCATTTTTCATTTACCTAAGAACTTAAATCAGTTGCTTTTCTATAATTTCAGTCTTGTTTTTCTCATTGATTGGTTTTGAGATTTTGATGTCATATGATAATAACTTTGTCATTTTTTCGACATAAATCTTGTGGTCTAGCAGCACTTAACCCTCACCTTCATCTGCACATGTTATAATCAAGTCTTTATTGTTTCTAAAACATTTTTAGTTGATTTCTATGTTCTTTCGTTAGAAGACTTTCACCTGTTACTTTTTTACTAATATACTTGTTTCAGCAATCGAGAAGAGTAGATTTGAAACGTTGGAATTCTTAGTCAGAGACTAGACTAAGACCATTTGTTTGTTTGATTAAACTTTCGAATTGAACATGTGTGTTGATTTTGTTAATTTTCCATTTATGTCACAGAATTTCATGCCCAAAGATAAGACTCCCAATTGTACATTTGTTAAGGATATTAAAGAATGATTAAACATATATCTTTCTGGATTGCTAGGAAATTTGTGCTGTGTTTCTGTGGTTTTTAAACTTTTAGTGAGGTCGGATATTAAATTTTTCCTGCGTTTGTCAATAAATGTGGTAGCATATTCGGTGAAAAGATCGTGCTCATTAGGTGATAACTCATATAACACAAATCTTTGCGAAATGTTAAATTCTAATAACGGGATGTGTGAACGAATAGAATTCATAACATTTTATGCATGGTGTTTAAAAGGTTTCCAGTTTAGATAACTATGGTTTCTTCGAAGATTTTTCGAGTACCATTTAAGATATTTGTTCGTATCAACGCAATCCTTAAGAAAGATAACGTTCTCATTCACTTCCTCAAGTTTGACAAAAGAAAGTAGAAACTCATTACTTTTCTTTCCTATCTGAAGGTTCTTGGAATTTTTTAGTAAACGGAGTACACTCATGAAGTTTATTATCAGTATTATTATAGTTATTATCATCGTGACAAATAAATATATATATTTGCGATTGTATAGCATCGAAAATAAGTTCGCAGAAAAGAGAACTCTTCGCTGAACTAACCTTTCTTATTTAACGCTAGAAGTCCGGCGAAAAACACATTTTGGAAGGACTATATTTCAAGCACATCAAAAAAGCAAACGAAATACAAAACGACGCTTCAGGTACAAAGGTTGAAGTGAGCGGAAAATTTCCGGTATATCCACAATAAAACCAAAAATTTTACAGTATGTAAAAGTTAAATAAAATTATCAAGGTGTATAAAATGAAGCTAATACGAGGTTCACTAAATAAGTTCAATTTTAAAATTGCTTCTGTATATCCATTGACATTTGTTAACAAAATAACCTATTGCTATATCATTAATTTATTATTGTGATTTACGCTAGAATCAACAGATTAACAAATGATCCTATCTTTTATCACACTGAGCAAACATCTTTGCTTGTAGTTGGTTTTTTCTCTAGGTGGTTTTAAAGATGACAAGTCGGTCTATATTTAGTTTCATCCGATTGCAAACCTAGTAACTATCAATTAGTGTCTAATAAATTGAAAACGTTTTATGTAATAGGGTGACGAAAAATCCTTAAAATTTACTACTTTCATTGTTTTCAACGTAGTTAAGCTCTATTAGGGTCTGTATTGAAGCTAATCACTAATGATTATCTCTTGAAATAGAGGAACTCTTGTGAGTTGTTGAATATGAAGTCATTTTTCATCATCTCAAAAGTCACTGAAAATATATCATACTCGTCACAAAATTTCAAAATCTACCCCATATAAAATTATGAAGTTGTACATTGCTGTAAAATCTCAAAATATCAGCTGACAGTTGTTTCTTGATTTCCATTAGTTCATCAATTATAATACCAAATTGTGGTGTAAACTAAATTCATCTAGAAACTTCTCTATATACCTTATGTCATTATAAACTATAGTTCAGTTAATGATAATTATACTCTGAAAATTTGTTTAAAATTATGAGTAATCACATCCGCATTCAATATAATCACCAATTTATCCTACACTGATTAATGATAATTCGTGTGTAGGTTAAATTTAGAAAAATTCTCTAATTTATTTTCATTAATATTTATCTAGACAAATATAAATGTTTAAAAAATAGTTTTCGATCATATTTAAACAATAAATAAGTAAACTTAACTATGAATTTTTTTTTTAAAAAATATTTAGTTGATTATGTGATCTAATACATTTCTATGGTAATCGAAATATTAACAAATAGATGTGATGTATTTAACCAAGTTCACACACGTTTATTATTAATGCAAATTTGATTAAACCAATGGTTTAGTAAACAACATATTATCTCTTCATGAACTACATATTCATAAAAACATCAAACATATATATGAATAGGCATATAAATGCATTTGTTTATGAATAAGGTTAGTTTATAATTCATGGTGTTCACATAGTCAATAGTTCTCAGGAGTCTTTTTTTCACATAGTTAATGATACATAGACAAATATTCTAGATATTGAAAGAATCGATACATGTTTTATATTGAAAATTATATATTACAATGTAAATGAAGTGTATCATTATTTGGACGTCTAAAGCGTATTTTTCTTTTTAAGCATCTTTAAGTAATATATTATGAATACTTGTTCAGTAACAGAATTGAATTGTTTACAAAATCATCCGATTTAGAGTAAAATATTTTTTTAAAACAAGCAATTATTACAGAATCAACAGAAATTTATTTTGGTTAAGACCATCCCATCCTTATCTAACAAATACTGACAATTATAATATTGAATAGTATAAGAAGGGGTTTTGTGGAGATTGTAGTAATTTAAACGGTTTAAGATCGTGAGTCAATTGAAGCTAGACCACCATGGAAAACCTGGAAGCAGTGGACGGCCGTTTCGTCCTATTGTGGGACTCCTCAGCAGTGCGCACCCACGATCCCGCACCCCGCGAGATTCGAGCCCAAGACCTAACAGTCTCGCGCTAAGCGCTTAACCAACTAGATCACTGAGCCGGCATCCAGCGGTGTTAATGTCTAACTTCAACTAGTCCACGACATTGAGCGACACATCCACCACTGTCATCAGGACTGATAAGCAGAGAAAGTTAGGATACACGCCGAATGTAAAAGCGGAAACAAAAGCCTTACATCTGACAAATGGAAATATGTGAAATACCTAGAAACGACTGCAGAATAAGCTGTAAGGGAAAAAAATATGAGAGACCTATATAATACAACTAAGAAACTAGGAGAGAAAAACAGATGATAGGAAAAGTCAAAATTCGATTGATTTACTCATTATGAGTTTTGTTCAACATTACTTCCGTTTCAATTTAATCTGATGATTATTCAGTGTAGTATTGGTTTTGCTTTCCCGTATGATATTTTATGCTGTATAGTATACGATATTGTTGTATTCAACTGACATGAACTACGCTCAGCATGTGATTTGTTATATGGGTGTAGGAATCATTATATAAATGATTGTATTTTTTATTAGAGTCGTCGTGTTTTGAGGTTAATAAATCATCACTTATAACCAGTCTTTGTGTTCTTACTTTCGAGTCGTAGAAGTTGCAGAGGTCACTCGTTTCGAGTATAAGTGATAAGCATTTCCGACATAACAATCAGCGACAATCAAATATAACAAGTAGCGTTTAATCGGCAAGACATATCAGAAACAAATCAGACTGATCAGTCAAATACAAAGAAGGTACATCAGTTAGCGAGGTTCAACAGCAGTGTAACAGTTAGATAGAACACTTTGAAGAACTCTTGAATTGACCAGTCCCACTGAACCCACCAGATATCCAAGCAGTATACATAGACCTATCTGTAGATGTAACAGCACCGAAAATGGAGAAAATCAGGTAAACCATTAGACAAATCAACTATGGGAAAGGAGCAGGGTCAGACAGCATACGAGTTGATGTACTGTAGTCAGATATAGAGATAGCTATCATGATGACTCACGTTCTCTTCAGAAACATTTGGAGGGGAGAACAAGTATCGGCAGATAGAAAATAAGGGTACCTCATCGAAACCATGGGAGGTCTTAGTAAGTATAAAAAACAGAAACTACTATAAGTGCCAGGCAAAGTTTTTAACAGAATGTCGCTTGACTGAATGAAATATTCAGTAGACGCCCAATTTCAAGATCAAGAAACTGGATTCCATAAAGACCAATCTCGCAGTGACCAAATCGCGAAACTATAGTCAGTCGAACGGACTTATTTTACCTTATTCAAACATAAATATCAGTACAAAGAAATATACACATGCGTCACATCCGATTTGTGAGAGGGTATGGATACTACCCGGGTGCCTAAACCGGAGGTGGTTTTCTTAGGGGACCACTCCCCTAGCCTTTAACCTAAAGGTCTAATCCACAAGGTAGTGGAGCAACGTTAGGAGATGCAGTCCTATGGTAGTCGGCGATCATCAATAGGTTCACACGCCATTTGTTTCCTGAGGATCCTGGAGCCCATGTGCACCAATGGTTTGGAATCAGGTTTTTCCAACTCTCCTAGGTTGACTCTCCGTGCCCATCAACCCGATCAAAACGTCGAATATTTGCCTTTAATTCTCTCAGTTTCGTAAACAATAACCCTGTCTCGAGAAGGCAGTGAATAAGACTTCACTGTCAGAAATTGAAATTAAACACACTGAAGCAAAGTGTAACTCATATTAACTGTTGAGTTATACTAGCTTATTACTCACTTCCTTATGTACATTTAAGTTCATTTTAGCATATTTTCCTTTGACTTACTTTTTCTACTGATTCTGTTATGAATAAAATGTATCAGCATGAACCATATGTAAAGTTTTTCCTGGTTAAATTAGTTTATAATTTTCTTGTATTCATCATTCTTTTTTAATGATAACTTAATTGTTTACTGCCGTTTTGAATAAAAAAAGATTACCCACTAGTGAGACTATTTCATCAAAAATATCAGGTAAAGTGTTTAAGAATTGGTAATTAAGTATATTTGCATTACATCCACATATAATACTGAAAATATTAATTTATGTAAAGTAAAATCATATATACAATATATAATCTCATAGTAACATTTTATGGTTTTTCAACAACTTAATTAATTCTTCCACAGATGTACAGAAATAATCGGATATAGTTTTAACTTTAGGACGAATAACATTGACACCGAAACCGATAAATACAGAAGCTGGTGGACAAGCTTTTGCATCTGTCATTCCATCACCTATCATCATAACTGGAGTGTGCAATTTGCTCAGTAATTCATTAACGATTAAAGCTTTACCATCGGAACGACTAGTTGGTGCACTATCATCCAATCCAATAAATGTGCCTATGAGAAATTTTAAAAAAAAGCTTAGCAAACAATGAGAACATAAAGAAAAACTTACCATAATATTCAGAGTACTAAAAGCATTGCTCTATTCAAAATATGGTCTAAAGATATTACTGATATGACTAAATTCAGGAGTTGACACAGGCCAATCTTGAAACAGCATTTTGGATTTGAAGGGGAGCGATTGCGTTGCTGCCTAAGGTGGTCAAAAGACTGCATTTTGTCAGGATCTTCATCAACACAGGACTAATTCACCTGCGTATTCTAAGTCAACGAGTAAATCTCCTGGTAAAACATGAATCCCTCCAAAGTCAGATGATGAAAGTGACATATCTATGATAAAGTCAAATAAAAATGGGGAAAGCGCACAACCTTGAACAATACCACTTGAAGACAGTTCCCATCAGTAGTGTCCGAGTAGAGAGACTGTACAAGGTTGGTGTACCTCCTTGGTTTGCCTTTCAATGACAGACGCACAGAACTTATCAATCAAGAGTCTAACGCTACCTTATGCGCCACACAGTAGCAATGAGGTTATGAAGAGATAGATATTTTAAAATGCGTATATTAAAAGAAGAACAATAACGAACAGACATCAGTGTATGAGAGTGAAATAATAATAATAATAATAATAATAATAATAATAATAATAATAATAATAATAATAATAATAATAATAATAATAATAATAGAGAAATAGTTCAGTTTATTTTCTATAGAATAAAAGTTACAACAGGATCGCCAATGGATTCTATTTTGAGCCATGTTTGATAAAGTTTCAAGCCACTGTGCTACATCATCTCAAGGACCCCAACCAGGGATTCATGGAGGACCAACAGAAGCAGTTCTGTACAGCTCTCTTCCATATCACGACATCATATCATACACTGATCACTCTCCCGCTTTTTCCAGCCAGTCCCAACGTCAGAAAATAATGCACGATGTGGACTTAGTTGTTGCAGAAACAACGTGAACCCTTTTTAAAGACAGGAATAACTATTGACTCATTTCATGACGTTGGAACACTCTAATTACCAGACCTTTGTAAATAACTCAGTCAGTTCCATAACCAGAAATTCACTACCATCTTTAAAAAGGCCGAAAGTAAGTAATCTGGGCCCGGTGATTTGTGGTGCTCCAAGAGTTGGGGTTCCTTGCGGACTTCTGTCTCATTTGGTGGATCAGTCATCACAGGCCATGGAGAGCAGGACAGTCTGATCGATGTAGCCGGGGCAGCAGACCACTTGAACTGCCTCTCGTCCAAGACGTTGGTAGATGTGAGTGATTGACATCCCGTCATCTCCACAGATTGTTTCGCTCATATCAGACTTCTTGCTGCCAGCAAATCAGATGAGTCAAAAGAGCATGCAGGTGCTGCTTCCAACTCATTGGCAGGCTCTGACCACCAGGCTTCTCTGTCCTTACACAAGCCTTGTCAAATTTCATTTCGTAACAGTCTTCGTTTGGAGTTAAACTCGAGGTCATCCGGAGTGGACCGACAGGCTTCAATGAGTTGTAAGGAGCCCAAAGAAACCCCGTGCTTATAAGCGGGACTTTTCGAAGAGCTGCAAACGACTTTACTCGCCATTTTCATATTGTCATGTAGTTGCAACAAATGTTCATACTTTTCAGTGGGTTAATAGCTAGCCCTGAACCTAGCTCGGTTTGATATTTAGTTACAACTGTAGCTTTTTACACATTAAAGAAGAGTATAAACAGAAGAATACACTAATATCTGGATCGACAATTATGCTCAGCCACATATGTTAACATTTTAATCCTGAGTTACTTCATTTCAAGGTCCTAGTGAGCCATTATGCACTATCAGACGCTAGTCTTATATAACTGCTGCTACTACCGGTTCGGTTATACCGGAGTAGCTGGAGCAAGGTTCAAACTTGTGATTGCATCGCGCAATCGTAAATTCATTTATAAAGATATCATATGTGTGAATTAGTAGAGTTTTCTTCCCTATTACTTATTTTAAGTTGCTTCTACCTCAAAGAAACATTACAGATATTTATAATGAGGTCAATAATTTTATGATGAATAAATCCTGGGTGGCTTCTCAGTTACTCATATATATATATATATATATATATATATATATATATATATATATATATATATATATATATATATATATATATATATATCCCGAACGTAGCTGCTACTTTGACGCGGTGGTCGGGCTTGCCTATCGTGATGACCCAACCGACCTATATTGGCTGGAACATATGTTCCTGTAGCTTCTACCATGCCAAGCAGGTCGATCGGAGAACGGTAAGACTAGAAACAGAAACTCAAGGTCTGAGGGTGAAGTCGTACTGCTGACTTATGAGGGGTGTGACAGCAGTAAGGTGTCTCCCTCGAACAACCAGCATCTACAGCGATGCTGCCTTCTCACAAGGAAGGAAGGGGATAGAAAAGGTCAACCCTAAAAATGTCACACTTCACCTTACCTCACGGATTTCCATCTTCGGTGGTTAGGCTCTTTGAAGAACGGAGCTAACACGTCAAAAACCTCCCACAAAAAGACCATGCACGGCCGGCATCGAGCCATTATCCCTTGGGCTCTGCGGTCACACTCCCAGGTCTTTAAGACCAACACTAATCCAATTACCTTTTCAGGTTCCTCAAGAAATACCCTTCAACGGTGTGGGCAGCCGGGAAGTGATATCAACCCTCATACTCGTAACAGCACACGAGACCAAGTTGGTCACATTCAAATCCTTCCTACACCTCTTAATACCACTCTTATCTCCCCGACTAACCCTTCTCACGTCCTTTTTAACCTCGCACCGCTAGGGCAAACGATTCGAGTACGCGGAACGTTATTCCTGATCTCCTGAAACCACGCTCTAAACTACATGTAGGAGCTTTTAAAGTACGAACACTGTGTCAAATAGAACAACAGGCTTCCTTAACTAGGACTCTAGAATCTCGCGCCATCGATGTGTGCTGCGTACCCGAAACGCGCATATAGGATCCGAGTAGCGTCATTCATTTGACATCACTATGTCGAAACAAAGAACCAACTCGATTCACACTTCGTGTATCTGGAAGCCCAGATGCTGCTTCCCGTGGACTCGCCGGCGTAGGTATAGCATTGAGTCCTAGGGCAGAACTAGCTCTCTTAGAGTAGATCCCAGTAGACAGTCGTTTGTGCGCTGTCCGACTAAACGGAACAATAAGGACTCGGAAAGATAGGGACACTCGTCGTTGCCTCTTCATCGTCTCTGCCTATTCTCCCACTGACTGCAGCTCAGATGATGTAAAAGATGAGTTTTACAGAAAGCTCTCCGACCTTCTCCAAAAAGCCAGGCGCTCTGATGTAGTAATAGTGGCCGGTGACTTGAATGCTCCAGTAGGTAAACTAAGCGAAAGGGAAAGACACCTGGGTGGATCTTATGGTGTCGTGGCTCAAAGAACAGATAATGGCGACCGTCTGTTGCAGCTATGCTCAGATAACTGCCTGTTCCTTGCAAATACTAACTTTAAGCATAAGGAAAAACATCTTTTAACATGGCGACCCCCTAATTCGTCCCAACGTTGTACCCAAATAGATCACATCGCTGTCAGCTACCGATGGAGAGGCTCGATAGAAGACTGTCGCTCATTCTGGAGCACATGCTTAGATTCAGATCATGCTCTAATGCGAGCGCGTATCTGTCTGCGTCTTACTGGACGTAAGAAAGACGCTGCAAGGAAACCTCTTAGGGTCCTGTTTAATGATAGTCAAACTAAGAGTATATTTCAGGAACAACTAGGAAAAGTTAAGCAGCCATGTATGTGATGCCCACCCCGAGGCGGCATGGAATGATATCCGAAAAGCTGTAGAAACAGCAGTGATATCTGCTAGTATGGTAAACCATAGGGTTAACGAGCAACACTGGATCTGAGCAGCATCTATCGCACTGATAGATGCTCGAAAACTCATTCCATCTGGATCTGAACATAACGAAGAGCGGAGTCGGCTCAAGAGCAAGCTGACAAGAAGCCTACGCAATGATCGCGAACAGTGGTGGGTAGCGAAAGCAAGAGAGATGGAAAAGGCAGCAGCAACAGGTAATAGCAGACAATTGTTCAGACTCGTTAGGGAAACTGGTATTAGGAACCCTACTGTTAGCGAAACACTCTCAGAGAAAGATGGACATGTTATATATTCTCAATCCAGGAGATTGGATCGATGGGTAGAACACTTTAGGAATCAGTTCAACTGGCCTTCAGCCACACTTCGGTTTCCCACGATCTCCAATCAACCTGAATGGAAAGTTAATCTAGGTCCTCCGACTCTTTATGAAGTTGAAAAAGCTATCGGAAATCTGAAGCGAGGGAGAGCAGCAGGCCCTGACAGGTTCACTCCTGAGATTTTTAAGGATGGTGGTCCAGTAGTAGCAGTGAGATTAACTGGGGTCTTAGGTAGAATTTAGGAACTGGACGCAATCCCATCTGACTGGTCTCAATCACTGATTGTGCCAGTCTATAAGAAAGGACAAAAGTCCTCTTGTGCTCAACTGTAGTTTCGACTTGTACGAGAACAACATTGTTGCTACATAAAGGAGTCTGACCATTTTGAGATTAACCTTGAGTTGCAGAGAAGCGATGCTAGTTGGTGCCCACGATAAACAATTTGTGATCTGTACAAAACTCCTAAAGGCGATTCGTTTTATCTAAGCTGAGACTGATGAGTTCCTTTGTGACACCCAGTCAGTTCCCTTATACGCACGAACTGGGCACTCAAGTTTCAAATTCGTATCAAAACACCTTCGAAAGCGCGTTATCGAGATTGCTTAACTAATGGTTTGATTCACCCTTTAGATGGTGGAGAAGATTTGTAGCTCAGGTGGATGATTTTGATGGAGTTTTGTTCTCTGAGCTGGATGGCTTGGTCATCGTTCTTCTGAACAACATCATCAGCTAAAACTTCAGGTAGAAGTTTTCTACCAGCTCAGATAACAAAACTTCATCAAAATGATTCACCCTTCAACGAGTCCGAACTACAATTTATAGGTGTGTAAAATTATTTTATTTCAACACATAAATATTTGTACAAAAGGGTACCAAATATATATGCGCCACACCATATTTGTGTGTGGGCTGTGATACTGCCCGAGTGCCCAGACCGAAACAGGTGGTTTTCTTAGGGGGCCACACCCGGGTGTGTAAAATGAGAACCGAAAGCAAATATTTCACCTCACCAATATCTCATTCTAGTAAAACCTTCTAGATTAGCACTAAGTAAACAACCGTTACTAAGATTCCAATCGTCAAATGGTGATTATACATTAGTGTACCATAAGTATGTATGTATTATGAGTGTCTGCATTACCAGTGACATCGGGCTTCCAAATAAGTGCACGTAGAGCAAACTTTTGAACCCATAGATAAAGAAGGTATTTGTGGTACTTGACTGGAAACTACGCAGGTATCGCAATAAATGTACTACCTGGATTCATCTCTCTGCAGCTCAAAGCTGAACTCGAAATGAATATAATGCAAAGCTGCCGCTCATTTTCGAATAGCTACACGAATTTTGATCATGCTTCAGTAAACATCTAAGTTATCTTGAGTTTCGGTGGTAAACCACTTCATTATATTAAATGAACTGGTGTAAAGGAATCGGTTTTTATCTACAAATGTGACCAAATTTTGAACTGAGCTAGTAGGCTCAAATCAATAATTTATGATTTTAAAGATTGGTCTGACCATTCCAGCTTCAATCTGAGACTTAATCCTACACTAAATAGCAGAGGTAATCAAAGTCATATTGATTATTTAAATAACATATTCTGACTTTACGGTTGTTTATGGAATCGAAATCTAGAAAGGTATTTTTGTCTTAAACTCTTTAGAGTAGTTAAAGGTTATATCCAAATTCTTTATTAAAAAAACCCATTCCTCGTTATCATAACAACCTTAACCTAATATTTTTCCGGTTAGCGCTTTAGTTTTTTACGGGATGGGGTCGCTAACCCCATGCCCGACCCTCCTTCTTTATCCGGCTTGGGACTGGCAGCAGCCCCATAGGGGCTCCAGGAGGGGTTAACCTATTATTATAGGCCTCATTTAACAGATTTCTGTATTTGCAAATGTCTCCTTTTTTGAACTATATAATGCGTTTCCTCAATTTTTTACTCCCCATTCTTTCGTGTAGCATTATCAATAAACGTTATTGTCTAATTCTTAGGACGAAAATATTATTTCAATAATCCTATTCCATTCACATAATTCATCGAAATCCCCCTTTCTATACTTACATACATTCTGCAGAAGTTGCAATTCAGCCTATAGCCCTTCTACAGTTTCGCCCAATCGAAAGCCCGGATAACGGCAGAGGGTTGGGCATGAGGCCAGTAACCCCATCCCATGGGAAACGACTTTCCTAGAAAAATGCTATCCAGGAAAAACAATTTGAACTCTCAACTGGAATTCAGAGGATAGTCACTCGGAGGAATTATGATACCCAAGATGCTTCGGAAATCACGAGGCCGATGCCTCTCCAGACAGTACTACAAGTAACTAGAATTAACGTTGGTCCTTACGTCTGAAGACCGAAAGCTGAATGCAAGAGACATTTGACTACTGATGGAATAATTGTTGACATCTGGATATTTCTTAGAAAATCAATATTGCATTTATGCATACAAATTCAATAGTAAAATTATTTTGAATGGAGATGGTTTGTTTTCACAGATAGGCTAACATACAAGGGAACCTTATCTAACTGCAGCTTTCAAGAGGTTACATTATGCACAATTTTGTATCAAAGCAAACGAGGAAAAACTTTAACAATCAGTATTACCTTCGTTATCGAAAATCAGCTTGTTCGCGTAAACGTTTTCTTCAGGAATATTGAGCAGTTGGGCTACGCGATTAACTAACGGATATAATCCACCGCTTACCAAGTAAACATCAACCCCATTTTCTTTGAACTGATTAACAAGATTTCTGTCCAAAGTGTAAAGAATAAATACTTAGATAAATTATGCAGACCAAAATGATTGTTAGGCCATATCATAGATTCGTCAAGTTGGTTTAGTACATAAGTTTAGATCTCAAAGAAAAACTGTTTTGAAGTCAACTGAGTTATCAACACTTTTAAGATGGAAAATAGTTGGTTGAGGAAGGGAACGATTAGGCTTAGAACGTGACCTAAACACATCAGCAGACGGAGATTTGCAGTTCCACTAATCGATTCGTCACAGTCCCCCATTACCAGACACCTAACCACGTCAGTGTTAACTCAATCGTTCCACCATACACCGGCAATGCCTCAAAGACACTTAAGACCAAATATTTGTGGTCTACACATATGCCACAGTTGTAGCACAATACAGTGCGGACTGATGCGTAATATACCCGCCCATTGACTGGCAAACGGATATCTAGCTATATATTTATTATAGTTTTCATTTAAATAAAACATGTAGTGAGCAACACAGACCATATTTTTTTACCAATAAAGGAAAAATTTCAGTACCCTAAAGGCTAATATGATGAATTGTCTGCCACCTTACCAAAGAAGTTAGATCTCAGTGTCACTAACAAATTATTGTTATCAAGTGAGACAACAATTACAAAAAGAGTGATTACAAAACACAACCACCGAAAATACTCATTTTGTGATAGTCACATATAATCAATTTAAGAGGTAGACTGTACAAAATAAATTACATTTCTGAATAAAAACAAGAGATAAACCATCCCAAAACCCATAGTTTAGGTAAGAAATACTAATTACTTCTATATAAGCGAATTACATCAAAGAATGCGAAACACTAAAATTTATGAAAAGTTCATTCCCAATATTTAAGCAGCCATACTAAGATATTGCGTAAAGTCTATTCGAAGTCCTCATTTTTCTCTGAATAATACTTTTTACCAAGTTTCACCCAAAATGTTATCCACAGCTATTTTTAGGAAAACGGATGATAATCTTATTATTATTATTGACTGATCGAATTCTGCAATAGAGACTGAAAGGATATCATAACAGATCCAAATAAAAACGAAACAGAGACAAGAACGTTCATTGACCAACTCTATATATATAAGTTAGAATACCAACACCTATAAACCGCATTTTAGTGCTTTTATAATACTATATTAAAAGTAGCCCTACAGTATGATTTGATAGAGCAAAATATAGATTAATCACTTCCATTTTGGTAAATTTAAAAAGATTCCAGCGATTTAATATGGATGCTTCATTTGAAAACGTTTAAGAAATTTCCGTCAAATTTACTCGAAAGCATTGGTATTTACATCTAGTGGATGTGAAAGTCTACACACACCAGTGTCTGCACAGTCTGCTTGGGGCAGTAGCTTAGTGGTGAATCCGTATGCTTTACAGTCACTGGGCTCCTGGTTCGAACTCCACCCCACCTATTTCGGTTTGAGCAACAGGATATTTTCATTAACCTTTAGACTTGGAATGTGGTTCATACCCAATTAACTTAAGAATGAGCTAAATTATTTGTATTTTGTATGATTACTAACCTCGTGTGTACGAAAAAATCGCGAGGCATATTAATTCATAACACAGTTCAATAATTTATTTAGTTAACGTGTAATTCTTATCTTAAAACCATCAATTATTACAACCAAAATAGTATTTGTGTCACACTGTAACAGTGACTTGGATATCGACTACTATTAAAATTAAGATTATATACATATACATAATTAGTGGCTCATGTCCTTCTTAGTTTCATAAAAACACTCGTTCATTATGAAGTTTTGGAAATAAACTGTCTGTTAGACCTGATCAGTGACATTTACATTAACGAAAGTATTTATTTAGAAAGGTCAAGTTTTATAGGAATGAATGGCATATCTTCCAAAATCTGATAAAACGAAAATCCATTGTGATTCTCAAAATTGGCTTATTAAATGAATGGAGAAAATAAGAAATGAAGTTATTTACACAATGATAACCGGAGCACGTACATTATAAATGCAAAAATTAAAGATTTAGTGAGATGAACTTACTCAACACCAGGTGTTAGTCTAACTGGATGGTTGTCTAAAAAGTCAGTAAGCTTCTTTAGATTTAAATTCATTATCGATAAGCGGGCTTCTAATGCCTTACTAATGTCCAATTCTCCATTCATAGCCTCCTCAGTGCTAATGAAACTTTGAAATATAGACGAAATTTATTGTCTACATCTTTTTAACTTTATCAGTAACTCCAAGAAAACTGGCAATTTCATCCAGTCCTTCATCTTCACAAACCGTAGAATCCACGTCCAAACAAACGCATTTGATATTAGACCAATCTGCAAACATCGATATGTTATACACTAACAAAAGGAAGTTTATTACACTTCAGTTATGTAGCCTCTGAAACAGGAAAGAATCAGATGTACTAGTATGCAAAACCAAGTGTAAGAACTAGTTATATGGAGTAAAGATTTGAAACAACTAAATATGCCATACATCAAAAAGATCTATGAGTGTCTTCTAGACACACATCAGACTAAACCAATACTACAGCACCAACGATTGTGACTTGTACTTTGAGGACAAAAGATCGGGTGCCGGTGTCAGTCCTCTCCTAGTATGATTTCGTGTCCTTATTTTTCTCTTGAATGAGTAAAGTGAAGGCCCATTAACTATTTATCCTAGTAGTTAGTTCTAAAAGTAAATTATTCGGCAAGAAATTTTGTTCGATCTTGGCTTCTGGATCCGCCAGTGGCTCTTTAGTTTTATTAACCTAGTTCGAAGAAAACAGAAGTATTTCAGGTTAAAAATCACTTCACACCATAATTACATCGCTTCCGAATCAAATATATAGTAACGTAATAAAACTTGGTTTCCAGAGATAAATGGTATGGGGAAAGCCACTGGAATCACAAGGATACAATTCCTCTGCACATCTAAAAGATCTGAGTAATCTTTTTAAGAAAGGGCTTGCGACTTGCAAAGTACGCTCAAATTCGGATCTCATTATGGGCTGAGTAAAGTAATGACATATCTTTGGTTATTTTGCGAGTTTTTCTTAACCCCCAAGCCAGTCTATAACCCTTAGCAAATACCAAACGTCACTGAGCCATGATCCACAAATGATGACTGACTATGATCCCTGGGTCGTCGGTCAAAAAGTAAAGACGAGAAACGTTTCCTAGTTTTCTGGTTGATACCGATTTGCATTAAGACGCAAGTGACTGCACTATCACACATTATTGACGTTTCGAATACACATAAAAATATTTTCAGACCAGCTAAAAGTCCTCGTACATCATCATATGATGATGTACGAGATATTATCTGGTGGTCAAGTTGCTACAGCAGTGATTGATGACCCAGACAAAACCATTATTGTCCCGAGTAGTTCTAATGTGGATACTGCAACTGATGGGAAATGGATGAAGCGTAAACACAGAAGAGAAGGAAAGATAGCCAAATATAACGCCCTTGGTGGGCTCATAGCTGGTGTTAAAGATTACTCCGCCAAAGTCCCAAATTAAGACGATATTTAACCCTATCGTACACAGGAAAAATTTGGCCTCATCAAACATTGTCATCAGTCATTCGCTCGACAGTTTTATCAGCCACATGTACAGGTCTTATGGCTGATATCTCGGTGTGATTAGAACAAGTATATTTAACAATACACGTAGAGTATACTACGCTAAAATAGTTTAATTCTCAGCTTTTTCCAGATTTGATTCCGCTAATAAATCTAAATTTCCGTATAACAGTAATGGAGGAATACCATCACTGCATTTTGTTCGCCATTTACCGTACGAAAACGATCGTTTCGGACAAGTACGGCTATCATATTCCAACTGCCTTTCGTAAATAGTACAGCATCTAGCTATGGTCTTTTTACATATATTCCGGAGCTTTTGGCATTCGCACCTAAAGTATTCGTATCCTGTTGACAATAATAAGTCCCAGAAGTGTTTCCTACGCTTCAACAGCTTTTCGCTTTCTCTATTGATCCATGGAGGATTATGTGATAGCCTGCGTACTGACCATAGGATAAACGGTGATGTTACAGACTCGAATGTAGCCTTAAACTTATTCCATTCATCTCAGATAGACCCACCTGCATTGGTCGACCAGTCAGTCGAGATATCGCAGTCTCTGATTGCTGGAATATTAGCCCGCCAGATATTGGAACGGTGTGGGGCAAATACATATTGTATACTGTGTGTCTGAAACTTAAAGTAAAGTACAACGTGATCACTATTCGCTAGTGGGGGAAGATGTTGAATGTCGATGACATTCTCACAGCGGTGTGTGAGGACAAGGTCCAGCAATAACGGATCATTTTCCAAGCCAATATGTCAGTTTTGCGATACAGGGTCGCTATTGAAACCCCCACTTGAAGATTTAAGCTCTATTTAGTTGATATGCGGTGCATTGAGATCTCCAATGATGAGACAACATTCTGCCATACTCCATGAACAAATGTCTTACGATAAATTTGTCATCAAAACAACACGGACTTTGATACATCCCTCCTATAGTCATTAACCCGTGTCTAGACTTGATTGTACATCATGCTACTTGACATGTACCACTAACATGCGCCTCCGATGCGATTGATTAAATACGAAAGTGATCCATAACATATAACATTATGCCTTTTCCCTTGAGACTTATAACTCTATCACTTCTAATACAGATGTAGCTTGCAATGATGAGGGAACAGTCTATATGTACGGTGAGCCAAGTTTCTGTGACAATTATATTGGGACTTAATCCATCCACCATCAAACTTAGCTCAGACGTTTTATTTCGAAGACTAAGAGAGTTCGTGTAACACACACTTAAGGTGCGTTAAGAATCATACGTTCTACCCATACAGGCCTCGAAAGCATTGGCCACCAGGACCTGACCACCCGAAAACACTTAATCGTATGATTCGCTTCGCAACTTAGCTTTCGACTTCCTAACTCTGTAAAGACATTCTTCCACTTGATTTGATCCCCAATCTGGTCGGATACGAACATTCGAATTGAGAGTTTCGTATGCGTCATTTAGAATGATGTCCCTTTCTTCATGAATTCCAAGTACTAACTTTTGAATCCTTTTTATTTAGATCTCGCCTCCAGCTAATTTACCGACCCGAGCTCCCAATTTTGGGGAAGCCGCCATAGTAAACTTTGAGATTTCGGAGAAATGGGACAAGAACCCCAAAATTTCCCCCAGAATCTTATTACAATTTGGGGAAATATGCTTATATTTACTAATAAAACCCTGAAATTTTTCACAATTTCGGGGAAATTTTGCGTTTTTCCTTAAAATTGCCCCTGATAAGACTCAAGTCTTATCACTTCCGTGATATGTACCCCCGAAACCTTTTCAGATAGTACACTTCTGATAGCAGATCGTATGCGTATCTTTTGGCAGGGTAATTGTCTTTCGACTACTCTAGATTCCAAATAATTAAACTGGGAACAGGTTAAACTTCTTTGAAAGTCGTGTTCGCGGCAAGAAAACTAACGGCAAGCTCCCAGAAGTTAACAGGAAGGATCTCACATCACTGAAAGACAAACTATCAGGATTGATACAGGTCCAGCATTCTACTTTCCTTACCACCGTAGACTGGTAATATTTTCCCAAATTACCAGTGAGACAATCGATATAGAGGATGACTACGTACATTTATTATGATGCTGTCCCACAAAGAAAGTACAACTGTTTTTCTAAAGGTTATAAATATAACCTTTTCTTCTTAGCTATGGTGCGTCACATCGACAATTCGTGAAGTTTTTTCAAAAGCGGTCAAATCAAGACATATTTAAATTTGAATTGAGTTCAGGCACATCATGTCTGACAACGCACATCCTACAAGTAACGAAGACGATGCCATCGTGATGATGCATTATATAGGGCAAATCTTCAATGATATTACGTTATCTCAACGTTTTACAAGTTGAGACCTGTTTGAAAGAATTACATGAGGTAATATGACTTCTGTGGTTAATAATTACTTTTGTAGTATACGCATACTAAGTAAGTTATGTCAGTATGTAAAAAAAAGATATGATCCGAATCTAAAGTACTTTTTTGTGAGATGTGTTATAATTATAGATGAGTAATCATCTATAGAATATATATATAATATTTACAACGCTCAGCACAGCTAATATATTCTCTATTAACCTATTTCTGCCACAAAAGTTGAACAAAACAGTGAAAACCATCCAAAATTGTGATAAAGGGAAAAACGATGATATCGTTACTTGTAGCGCTTTTTTGGTAGCCTTGACGACAATACAATATTTATGACGATATATGCTTTAATCATGTTATTTCATATAGAAATAAATGATTTGTATACGCTCAGTGTATAGTGAGGTAGAAATAATTGCTATTCTGCGATGCCAATACGAAAAAACTATAATAGCAGCACCTGAATAATGAATTTTCAAGGACTTCGCGATACCATGTAACGCAAAATAGAAAAGCCCCTTTTCACTTAATTGTGAAAACGGAAAATAAACTTTCGAATTTATTTATAATTATTTTCGGATTTAACTCTGCTAAAAGCAGAAATGAAAAGGTAGATCAAAAAAGTGTCACGATACCCCTGGAATGTTACCGGCTACACAACGACTCTGACATTCATAATCCCACAACGTAGTATAGTAAAATCATGAAAATTTAAGCAGTGGCTGAAGAAGTGAAGTACCTCTCATAGTAAATAAGCTGTCCATACTTAAAAATATCACGGATATTCATGACGTGACAACGCTCTTGTCTGAAACGCAATATAATTGTAGGATACCAACCCACCGAAACCAGAAGTCAAGAATGAAAGAGTTCCGGAATATCATACGAACTTACCAGATATGTCGATAAGCATGTGGTCTATGCTGAATAGTTATTGCAAGAGATGAGTAGCCCGGCATAGCTACCCGTGATCTAAAGTAGATTTGTGATCGATAGCCTTCAAGTTTGACGTGTCTAACAAAACTCAGGAAGTCAGGGTCAATTTTAAACTTTTATAGCGCCACTTACTCCAGGATTTTCTTTACCAGAATAACTCACTACTCTTTAATAGGTTAGTAAATATTCCAAGATATGCCCAGCCAAATATCCAAGCACAATAGCGTCTGACCGTCTTTTCATAATTTAAAACGTCAAAAGGTACAAAATAATAATGGGAGATATGTTGAATAAAAATTTTGATTCGTCATATCCGTCTTCAGTTTTTCATTCTTTCCAGTCATTCATGGAATGAAATAAACTATAAACCTGAGTGTAACTCGAAATACACTCGTAATTTCGTAACCAACCGTATCGTGCAAAAAACTTCGGTATAAACGCATATATGTACCATGGGACACTTGAAAAAATTACATCCAGGAAAGGTGGGTCCTACCGTGTTAAAGCACTTTCATATATTGTTGATTTGAGGTTTAAAAGACAGTGGACCAAGACACCACCCAGCACAACACCACTGATTATTGGTCGAGGTGTAGATGTTGTAGAGTTAATCTAAGTTATTTGATATTTGTTCGTGATAAAAGACCCGATTCAGTGCAATAAGAGGTTTGTAATTCTAACCGATTAATGTCTGTTGATTAGGATGTTATGAGGCACCTTGTAGAGGCTAGTATCCTCTATATCTGACTCCAATAAATAGTATCCCGTTAACTCAGTATTTAATGCAGGCTGAATCTCCTAGTAGAATTATGAATTTACTCGAAATCATTTAAATGCCTGAACACCAGTTTATAGAGATAACTTATTGTTAAAGATTAATAAAATCCGCAAGCGTGCACGAAGCAAGCACACAGGGAAACCAAGAGTTTGTGTATGTGAGTGGTAAAAATTCACATATATTTATGAGTGTTAATCAAGTATCAATAAGTTATTGATTATCTGTGTATTACAACTAGTGAGAGAATAGATGTGTCGCATGTGCTCAATCATACTCATACAGAAATTTATATAGTGGATTAAGTGTCTATAGTACAGTGAGCAGATAAATAATACAGTAGTTGAATGGGCTTACTACAACTTATCAAGAGATTTCTTGATATCACTAGATCATTTTAGTCATGTTTTCATAGATTTTATAGGGTCACGAAGTGACTTCGTTTTAACTTATTTGTCCACTTTTTCTTGTGACCGGATTTCTCGGTAGGAAGTGGAAGTGATCCAAGGACACAAATATGAGTCGAAGAGATATTTGGCATAGGTAATTAGCATCGACATTACTGGTTAATTACGTCCCACTAAATAATAAGGAGCAGTAATTCAACATAACCTTCTCTCCTATAATCGTGAGTAAATTGAGGTCATCGTCCATCATCATGTTTGCTAGTCAGTAACACCATCCTTCCTCCTTTTGTGATGTTAGGCTCTCTGACGTTTGTGGTATGTAGGAATATTGCTTAAATCCAAGCACCATATAGCACACCTTGTTAGAATATATTGAATTTACTAGTTCCAAACAAATCAGAATAGCTAAAGCTTTTGTATTGTGGTATTAAATTTCCACAATGTATATCCTACTGAGATGAAGTTAATCATTGAGATGTTATAAAATGCTGGTCATATGGTGTATTGTTTAGAGATTATAAAGACAAATGGAAGATCAAAGAATATGAGAAAATAATTTAGTGTTACGAAATTTCGGAGTAAGGCGATTAGTAACCAAGAAAACAATATATAGGGAGGAACTCACGAGAAGTTAGAATATTATAAGCCTATGATCAGTCATAAAACGTGGATTAAAATGAACTCACAATAATTTAGGATATTATGAGATTATTATCGGCTATAGTTGAGGAGCATCCTTAACGTTTCTGAGTTATCTGTTTGCTTGTAATACAAAGTGAGAAGGGAAATCGCACATCATGACGAAAATAATGGGGCTTTAAACATTGCAGAAATTGGAATCTGAATGTGATGTGCTTAAGTATGGGGGCATGACTAATAATGGATGATGGGAGAACATGTGTTTTTCATCTGGTCATGCGTATATAAATGACAATCGGAGGTCTTCCTTTTCATGGTCGTTCTAAATCTTAGGCGGTCCGTAATAAAGTGCCTACATGTTGAGCGAGAGTTCTGAGAATAGCTGATGGAGTTCTTTAAAATTCAGTGACACGGTTATTCGTCTGATGAACCTGATGATAGTGTCACAGTTAGGGTTAGGTATTACCAGCTGGTTCCACATTTTGATTCCGTAGACATGGTCATGATTGGGCAGGAGGTTAGAAATGATAGACGATATATTAATTTGTAGAAAATTATTAGATTACTCCTTAGCCGACGATGCCATAAAGGTTCTAACGAGAGGTGCTTATATCTAGCTGTATAGTCGACAATCAAGTCACATCCTAGCAGTCGACGTTTGAAGAATCTTTGGAAGTCTACCCCTATCTTGTCTGTTGTATTAATTTTAAAGAGAATAAATATTCAAGGGAAGGTCATATACATATTTTGTAAAGAATAAACTTGGCGTCTATTGTGAAGAAATATCTTATGATAAAATCCACTAACCGTTTAATTTAAAAACGACAAATAATACATTTTCTTCAAATTTTAGACTTGTGTAATTAATACCTGCATCATCCACCGGTTTGGGTGTCTGAATTCTACATTTATTTTAAGTGGTGGCCCGAGATGTTTTCGAAAATACATAGCCTCATGTTTTACAGTGGTTAAATTGTAATCTCCATTCTTCGCCCCAGAACACTTTTAAACTAAGATACACTTTCATTTAGAGCTACGGGCTTAAAGGTGTGTACTATTTTGAGATCATCAGCGTATAAGTATGGTCTCCCAAGTTTTATGTTGTTACATATATCGTTTACACAACTGAGAAACAAGAATAGGCCTAATACACTTCCCTGGATGACTCCACTAATTAGGTGATGAGAAAGAGTCATCAAACCTTACAATTTGTTTCCGTTCTGTAAGGAATGAAGAAAACCACGAGTATGGTAGTTTGTTGAGTCCGAAGGACTTCAATTCGACGAAAAGCCTTTTGTTTGAGATCTCATCAAAACCTTCCCAAAAGTTTAAGAATAGGACTGACACAAGAAGTTCGTTGTATCTTTTCAGAGTTGTATCGCATATGTTGCCTACTAGGCATGTGTCACATGATCTGAACATGCGAAACCCATGTTGGGAGGTCGAGATGATATTATTAGTAAGTAGATGTTCAACTGTCTCAGTGTTAACTTATTCTTCTATCACGCTCAATACTACTGAAATCATGTTTATGAACCGGTAATTTCCAACACTTGCTGAAGGTCCTCACTTGATCTTGAGGATGATATGTGTAATTTAACAGGCAGCATGGCAACATGCTATAGAGAATGATATCGCAAATAGTTTAAATATAACGCACAGATCATCACAGCAAATCAGCTGGAATATCATCTGGTCCTCCAATGTAGTGGTAGTTCAGTGTTCTGATTGCCTTAGAAAGATTCTGAACATTGAAATGTGCACTATATATTTCACTGAAAGGTGGATTGTGATTCATTTGGTGAATTTTGTTTGCTAATGCTGCACAAAATAACTTATTAAATCGTTCTATAATAGGTGTAGGATCTTCATACAATCAACTGTCCTTGATAAATACGTTACCCATTTTGGCTTTGAGCGTTCAAGTGTATTTTGGAGGCGTTTGATAAGTGCGAAGGACTCATTTTTGTTCCATAGCACCTTTTTTCTGTCCAACAGTTTTCTTGTACGTATTGTCTCTATCTGAACAATTATTAATGTCGTCATAAATGAAGAGGAGAAGTCGTTAAGGTTGTGGGAATGGGTGAAACATCACTGAAGACGTCTTAGAGTACGGACCGATGCATAGAAATCATTAGAAAACACAAGTCCCCAGCATTCAAAAAGTTCGATTTTTTCGAAGATATTATTGACGTTGTTACAGGATATATTGGTTAGTGTGTCGGTAATTCTTATAGTAAATAAGGTACCCCAATCAGAACTTCCTAGTCAGTTTCGGAGTTTTTTTTATTCATATTTGCTATAGTTTCCATGAGATGTGATAGCCTTATGTTTATTGATTATAGTATTTATACCAAGTGTGATGTGACATTATTGTGATCACTACTTCGAAGCGTCTCTACAATATGCACAGTATCAGAAATGAGGCTACTGGTAAAGACTAAGTCTAAGATATTTTAATGACTGGTAGGGCTATAGAATTACCGAGTACATTGTCCAAGCTCTTGACATTCGATAAATGATTCAAGACGTTTCAGCGCTGTGACTACAAATAA